ATGTGACGATGGCCAGGGACCGCTGGTGTGCAGTAGATCTATATTTAGCCCTGGATGATCTCTAATGGCCGAGGGAGGGTCTCTGAACTGAGTGCGTAAAGGGAAGAGTTCAGGGATCAGGGTTTTGCACTCTTGAATAATGTCTGGTACAGTCAGACTCAGATGGGGTGAATAATTTTTCTTTCCTCCCGAAAACAGTAGCTAGAGCTTGGCATGTGATAGCTGTGTCTTAGTTTAAAACATGGACCATGGTGATAAGCCTGTGCTAAGAAACAAGGAGGTTACAGTTAACCAGAGTATATGCCTGATTGGAGATTTGGAAGGAAAACAACTAGTCAGGTGAGGTTTAGAGCAAATGTAGAATTGACTTCTAAAATGAAAGAAAAAGTCTTGGCTGTCGAGATTTTCATAGCAGATTAAAAAGTGTGGCAGCTTTTTAGGTCCTATCATTAATGGTTAGTTTATGGGGGGGGCAGTTGTTGGGCCAAGGAGGACCTAGGGCACTTGACAGAAGTCAGGGTTCACAAGCGCCGCTCTGTTATGCCTTTCAAGCAGGTTTTCTGGAGAAGTGGAGAAGATCGGCTACTGATTAACAAGTGTCTTGTTGGCATTCTTCCACGACATGTGGGTCAATCCTTTGTCTTCCTAGAGGTGGCAATATTTCTGGCTACTAAGTGTAGTACTTTTCAGTGGTCTAATGGAGTGTTAAATTCTTCGAATTGATTTCTCCCCTGGTGCATTTTCAGTCTTGCTCCATTTTATATGCTCCATTAGACATTTAATCTGATTCCTGAGATCATTCTGTCTTTTGGAACTGAAAATCACCATAAACTATTTATATTTATTGTTTTTTTAATTTAAGTTATTCTTAGGCATATATTGTTAAATATTTTAAATTTTTATTATTTATCATAATCATTCACATTTCTTATATTATTACTAACATTACATTCTTACAGTCTAACTACTGGCCAATAAACTACAATAGACCAAAAAAAAAAAAAATCAATTGAATAACACCTATCTAGGAAAAAGTAAGAAAATTGAAGGGGCAAAACTAGGTGACTGTTTATGTTGGTAAGTTACCTAATATGGCACCGGAAGTGGTGGGATCAATCTCCAGAGGTGGCCTGGAAGAATTAGACTTCGGAGGAGCATTTGGTATGACTCCAAAGAGAGTACCTGCATGGACAGGAGATGAGAAAATTAGGGTATCCTCCCTTACTTGGGAGAAGAATCTGGAATCCCTGAAGCAGGGACTTAGAATCTTGATTCTGGTGCCACAAATAATAAATGGAACAACCATTATAACATCTTGTAAGGTCTTAAAGAGACAAATTGTACTGTTGAAAATACTGCTTAAGATTGATGGGAATTTTGTCTTTAGTGGTTGAATACAGGTGTTACCCCCCCTTTAGTTGTCCTTTTTGGTTTTCCAGTTAAATCTATAAAAATTAGATTTGTGCAACCCTTGATTATCCTAGGATGACAGATGTAGCCTAGCGCTGTGGGCAGATTTCTGCCTTGGGAATAGAGCCTAGGGTTCTAATCAATCTGGAGCCCTAACAAGTCACTTACTTTCTCCCTATACCTGCAGGATCTGTGAAATTGACAAGGTGTTGAACTAGATGATTTGTGAGTCTCTTTTAGGTCTGTGTTAACTGATTTATCTTGCTGTACTATCACCTCGTTCATTTGCACCCTTTATTAGCTGTGGAACAATGAAGGCTGAAGAATGGTCTGCAGTTAGATGTTCAGCTACTTGGTGTGTGGAAATGAAGAGAGGAGAGTGAAATTTCTTCTTATTGGTGAAAATTATGTAGAGATTTATTATCTGCTTAAGCTGTTTTTTGCTCTTGTTTTTCTCCTACAAGTGTATTTAAAAATGCTATTTTCAAGAAGTTTGAGTCAGGAAAATTTTTTGGACTTTTTAAGTCAGTGTTACTATTTTGTCATTTTAAAACCAGTCTTTTGACCAATCATTTTTTCTTAGGTTTGTGTGTTTATAATTTCATGTCAAGGTACATTTATATCTGGAAGTCATTCAATTGATTCAAATTTTATTAGGAAGCCCTGGTATGAAAATGAGTTTAACACAGGGAAAGTACAAATTAGTCTTGTAAGAAAGGAAAGCACTTTATAGAATGCTAGTATCCTTCTATTTATCTAAAAGGGAAGAATGGAGGGGGGTGTGGGATAAGGGTAATTTTTCAAGAACTTGCAGCCAAAAAAATAAAATTATCCCGGTAACCATGTTCCACAATAAATTGTAAATAGAAAATTCTACTTGTTTACTGAATGTCCTCACTAAGTATGCTGAGGTGAATGGGGTTTAGAAACATAAACCGTTTTAGTAAAGGATGCTCCCCATTTGGTATTCTATAATTTAGCTTGAGATCTATCATGTATAAATGATTCAATTACTTATATCTGTGCTGTTCAAGGTAATGGCCCGTGCTGTTCAGTAAATAGCCACCTGGGGATATATGAACTTAAGTTTAACTAAATTAAAGAAACAAAAATTGCCCTAGCCCCATTTAAGTGTTCGATAATAGCTACGTGTGGTGAATGGCTGCTGTATTGGACAGAAGAGGAACATTTCCAATATTCCAGAAGGTTCTTTTTTGACAACACTTAATTAGATAACGATGATTCTGATTTTCCAGAAGATCACTTTTATTCCTCTGGGAAAATGACAATTAATTCTCATCATAGGCACCCAAGACAGGCACCCAGACATAGACTGGCTTTATATGTTTTCAACTGTATATCATGAGCAATGCCACTTTCCAAAGTTCAATAATATTCCACGATCCCAAACACCAATTTCTCAAATTTTTCCCCCAGAACTCTAATTATCCTTTGAATTTTTTAAACCAGCACCTACTGTTACTGCTAGAAAGCACTAATCCTTTCAAAGACAAGGCACGTGGAGCCATCTACTGTTAAGCTCAGGAACTGCATGGCAGTTGTAGACGATTAAAAACATTGCAGGAAGAATGTCAACATGTGCTGTGATCAGTTCCTACAAAAAAAAATTAGTAAAGATTTATCTCATAGAAAAGTTTTAAATGATTCTCCAGGCCCACTTGTAGTTGCCACGTACTGAATTGTTGTTTTGTGTCTTAATAAACTGCTGACAAGATATTCCCAAGACAAAAGATGACAAATTTTAGCTTTGTTTTTCTTTCAGGGAAACCAAAGATGGTAATTATTTGAGTCAGAATCCCTTTCCTCCATTAATTAGGAATTAGTGAAGAAAAATTTAAGTAGCATCTAGGACAAATCAAGCAAAATGCACATTCATTTTTTAATGTGGAATCCTATAATAAATCAGGAAATACCACCATTCCATCATTGTAGAGAGAAATAGGACCTTCTTTCCTCAAAAATACTGATTATTTCCCCTTGACCATGAAATCTACAAAGCATTTGGGGCTCAGTTCCAAAGAATGTACTTATCTGGGAGTTACTTACTTTTTGTTCACATGCCAAAGAAGTGAGTTGATTCTGAGTCGTCTACTCTGTTTTGTTTGTAATCTCAACACAATACCTCTTTTTTCAAGGAGGTTAGCAGAGGTGTAGTATTTCTAGTGTCCAGAGATGCTGCTAGAAAGAAATGAGAAGATAATCTTTGAGACTTTTTTCAAGCTCAAAATAAGCATGTTTTATACAGTGTGGGAGACTTGACTTTTACTTTCCCCTAACTTGAATCCATAGTTAGAGAAACACCCTCTGAGCGTACAGTCAGCACTTGTATTCTGAGATCCAGCCGTGCCAAAAGGAGGCTAAAAGTACTTGAGATCCCAGCTGGAGTAAAGTTGAAATATGTGAACTCTTTCTCATTCCGATCTCTGGAGCCTTAAATGAAAAAAGGAAGAGGCTGCATCTCACCAAGGTGCAAAGTTCCTTTGGAATTTAGATGGGAATTTGGGAACCAGTCATTGCCGGATCTTAAATTAAGCCTCTCCTCCCTAAACAAATATGCTCTCAAAGTTCAACTGTGATAGGGAGGGCTTCCTTTACCTCGTTTGGACACATGCCCAGCATTTGAACAGAAGCGAAAGGATAGCGATCAATATAAAGACATTGGATTTATTAAATATTTCACTGAGGTGCTCTGTGATGAAATAGGGGCTGAAATAAACCTTTTTTATCTTGGACTCCTACCTTTGCTATCTCATTCTCCTGAGTGTAAAGGAAATGCTGACTTGACATCCTGGCAGAGATTTACCAAACACCTAAAGCAGTTGTTGAAGGATGGCTTTTGATTTAGTTCCCACACCCATCTTTTCCTGGCCCTCTTCCAATTGGAATTGTCACCTGAAACCACCTTAGACTGATGCACCTGCCTCCTCGTAAATAACCTTGTGCAAAAGCAGTCACTAATTCAAACACAGTCTGTTGTTTCAAAAAAGGCAGCTTTTCATCTGGTGCTTTAGTTGGTTTGAAACCATTAGGCATGCCTTTCAAATCCATTCATCCCTTAAATCACCTAGAGCTTGCTTCCTTGCTGCTGGATCAATGTCATGCTGAACTTTTGCAGGGTCCTTGGAAGGACATGATATATCTTTGTGACTGAATTAGCTGCCCCGGTAAGATATCTTGTCTGTCAACCAACTTTTCAGCTTCCCAAATTAAATATAAGAAAGAGCATTCATCTTGTATACGTGGGTTGGGTATCTTTTACTTCCTCTTGGGAAGTTTTCCAGAAGAACCTGTAATCTGTATGCTAATTTTGGCAGCTCAGAGCTTTCTTTTAGCCTGGGTCATTGTTTTTTTGTTTGTTTGTTTTTGGGTTTTTTTTTTTAACAGTACGCGGGCCTCTCACTGTTGTGGCCTCTCCCGCTGCGGAGCACAGGCTCCGGACGCGCAGGCTCAGCAGTCATGGCTCAGGGGCCCAGCCGCTCCGCTGCATGTGGGACACTGGACCGGGGCACGAACCCGTGTCCCCTGCATCAGCAGGCGGAGTCTCAACCCCTGCGCCACCAGGGAAGCCCTGGGTCATTGTTTTTAAAACCAAAATCTGTTTCCCATTGTCTCATTGCCTCCCCCTTATCCCAAAGTGCTCCCTCAATGTGTGTGTGGGGGAGCTATTTAAATATCTCTATGCAAACCGAAAGAAGTGTCTTTTTCATTCTCTTCAACGCCATTGGATCAGTACTACTAGAAAATATTTACATGTATTGGTTGATTTCTAAGGAGCCAGTCTTCAACCTTTAACCTTGTTAAAACAAGGTTCCCTTCAGAACCACTATGTTCTCTTTCTTTGAGGAAGTAGATAAATACGATCCAGGTTCTGTACAGGCCAGCACATGTGCTTCCTAATCTGGAGTCTGAACTCCCTGAAAGTATATACAAACCTGTTGGTCGATTTCTCTGGGGGCAGTGTGTGGAGAAGTTGTGATCTTTTCCTAAAAAGTTAAGAGCTACTGGCCAAACAATATATTCTGAGTTTCCAGCAACTGGCTGGAAATGAAATTTTGCAAGGTGAGAATTGCTTGTGAGATTAACCTGTCCTCTGTCTTATCTTACTGGTAGTGATTTGAATAGAGTCAGCAGCTTTTTCAAGCGTCTCATATAAATCTCACTTTTTCCAAAGGAGTTAGCTACTTTGAAGTTTGACTTAACAGCAAATTAAGGCCAGTACTTAATGCTGTCACATATTCTCATTTTGGAAATAGTCAGTTTTTCCTAAACCAGAGTTTTGATTAGTAGGTCCCCATAGCAGGTATATTGGGTTGGGCAAAATTTGTGCTAAAGAAGGATGGCAGACAGTGGAGAAGTTGGTGTTGAGATTATGTTGGAAAGGGTAGAGAAGAGTAAATTGAGAGTTTACAGAACCCAACAGACAGAAAATAGTAATTGTGAGCTGTAAAGAGAAGATTTGCTGCAGATAAGAAGTCAGAGCTACACTGAGATTAAAGAAAATAAATGGAAGCTGTGGGGTAGGAACCGCCTTACACTTAGCCCTTCTTCCACCAGGGAGGCTTTAGCAAATGGTTTCTGGAGTTAATAGCATCCGGGGCTAAATGCTTCTCTGGATTCTCATGTGCAGTACTTGGATATTCTATGAATTTGTTTTCTTAAACAAGAACCAAGCCAATATTTAATATTCTGAACTTCACTTTCTTTCATTCCAGAACTGAAGCAGGTAGAACTAAAGTCTTGGATGTCAAATTTGAGTCATGCTGAACAAACAGTGGTTCTTGATGTGGGTAATAAGAAGAAAGGTACTTGAGAGGAAAAAAAAATCTACTATGTTTATCTTCTTAGGCACTTAAAAATCCACTTCACAAGCAGTACTCTCTGTGCCATTCTGCTGACCTTTCCCCTCGTTTATCAAATGTGTCTATTACACAAGGCAGTTGATCTTTCTGGAAAATGGTTAGACTGACCACTTGCTAGAGATTGTCCAGAAATTAGTTACATGTACCGTGATCCATGATCTCTCTTTTGGTCATTTGTCTCATCAGATCTTTTTTACTGGAAATCTGTAAAGTACGTACAAGCAAGTATTACTGTATTTCGTTGAATCTAAAATGTCATCCATTGTAAGATGCTCTTTTATTTTATATATTGCTAAAAAAAGACAGTTAAACAGGTTTTCTTATCACTTAACTATTTATGTGCATCCCAATTTCAAAGAAAATAAAATATGAAGAAGTGTATATTAGAATTTCTGAAGTCTGTCTAGATAGCACTATGCTTTGATTGCAAAGGTCAGTAGCTTAAATACTTTTGTTGATAGTGTTGCTTTTTAGTAAGAGTAATTAATGACGTTCGTACATCTTTGGGGCAAGGATTTATGTAGAACGTGTAAAACGTGAATTTTTCTAATAGCGTGCAATTTGGGACAGACTGACAGGCTTTTCATTTTATGGTTAAACATTAAAAGTTCAAAGAAGACCATTTGCAGTATAACATGATGTAGTGTAATAAATTTTGAACCTGGAATCTGAAGACTAGGTTTGAAACCCTGCCTGTTTGTCCCTTATCCGATGTGTAACCCCAGCTGAGTAATGAAGTTTTTCTGAACCCGTGCTTATGCAGTCAAACAGAGTAAGGATCCCTGCCAAACAAGGTAGATATAATATCCAAAAAGGCATTTGTGGGCAGTAAACCTTACACAGACGGGAGCTGCTGACATTCTCAGAGCCTTGCCCACCGTGCATCTAGGCATTTCTCAGGGGAGCGGCCTTGAGCAAGAATCAGAGAAGTAAAGGGCTGTGGACTGTGGAGACCTTTTCCAGCACACAGGATCCCATAGTATAAGGATGCACACTGAGGAAGGTGGAGGCCTAAGGAGTTGACAGTATATGGCAAGGTGGGAAAATAGGACCCTTGTGCATGTAACTAAGGGGCTGGGTCTCTTGGAGTGACTTAAATCTCAGCCATTGGTTGTTGCTCTACGCAAGTTCAACAGTCAAGTGCGTTTGTGGTCAATCAGCTGATTGGCAACAGACTTTGCGCTAATTAGAAGGCAGAAAACAACCTATGATAGATTCTCTTCTTAAATTTGATTTTTAAGTATAATAAACTATAACCTCAATTAACTTATCTCGGTTTGGTGTCCATTGCTATTTGTAGTATTTTCTTTTGGTGCCTGGTTGGAGGGGTTTTTTGTTGTTGTTGATATTTTGTGCCTCCTCAAAGAAATCCTGTGACACATTTCCAAGGAACAATACAAAGACCTTTTGCCATTGCTCTAAAAATGCTCTAACTTCGCTATAAAGAAAATTGGTAGTTTTGTTATCATCTAGAATTTCGGAAGGAGTGAGCAAAATTGGAAATAATTTTCCAGATGAAAAACATACCTAGGGGCAGGGGCTGAGTAAGTGACTTTCCAAAATTTTCACAGCTCTTAAGCCCTAGATTAGGGCTTCATTAAATCTGGGTCCTTGTCCACTTTATGGGAGTAAATAATTACAAGTACAAATATTTGGTGGCTTTTGGTGCCGATCCTTTGAAAGGGAACTCTGAGTGACTTGTGACTATTTTTTTTTGCGGTTCGCGGGCCTCTCACTGTTGTGGCCTCTCCCATTGCGGAGCACAGGCTCCGGACGCGCAGGCTCAGCGGCCATGGCTCACGGGCCCAGCCGCTCCGCGGCACGTGGGCTCTTCCCGGACCGGGGCACGATCCCGCGTCCCCTGCATTGGCAGGCGGACTCTCAACCACTGCGCCACCAGGGAAGCCCGACTTGTGACTATTTTGTGGCTGGTGCTTCCTGTCAATCTACCAAAGGCAGCAGGGGTGCAAGATTCAGAGGAGTGCCGTGGGGCTCACGTGGTGCTGTAGCCACGTGGCTGTGTGGTCCTAGCCTGGCCACTTCACCTCACCGCCCAAGGTCTCAGTTTGCAAACTGATGGACAGAGGAGAGTGGACCTGATTGTCACGACGCTTGGGCCTTGGCTTCTTCTGTGACTGTTTTGTGGTCATTGCTAATCCCTTAGCACACATTCCCCACCCAGTTACAGGCTTTGAATCCTCACTCTTCATCCGGCCTTTTGGCAACCACTTTGGATTGATTGCCGTTAGGAAGTGAAATGAAATCTATTTTCCATCTTGGACCATTTGATTTCTATGGTCCTTTTGAACTTTTAACATTTTCTGATTTTTCTGAAATTCCCAAATCCTGGCCAACCTTCTCCCCAAAGCACTTAATATTAGGACGGTTTCGGTAGTACTGAGTAAGTGGAGAGATCAAGGAAAATTCATGGTTCTTGGCAGAAAAAAAAAAAGAAAAACAACTTCAAGGGCATGGATAGAGTGAGTTCCACTTGTCATCCTGGATACCAAGGATATTGTGTGGTTTTAACCATCTAAAGCTTTTTTTAAGCCAGAGGCAGGAAAGCCACATCCAGAGAGGGAAGGTTCCTTCCAGGCTGGAAGAAGTAACTTTCAGATGTTTCTCATCTCAGGTCCTGGTGTCCCAGTTTAAGGACATTTTGAGTTTCTCAGGGCAAAGGTAGACAGGCTCTTGTTTTTCTTCCCACCAGGGACAACCCATTTGCAAAGATGATATTGCACATGAAACATACTCATAGAAAACTGGCAATTTGAAGAGGACAGAAACATACTTTGTCCGTTGCCTTATAAAATGTTAACATTGAGTTCTTCATCTAACCGTGATTCCTATGTGTGAGGTCTTACCAACTAAGTGGGGAGCATTTGTGTTAACATTTACATCCTCAGTTCCTGCTCCTTTGGCCATTATGACCATGTCCTGCCCAAGCGAGAGGGATGGCAATGACGACTCTGGTAGTGACAAGTCTCCCCAGACAGAGTGATTCTCAGTCCTCACTTTCTTCCCACTTGTAGCTATTTTTTGAAGTATAGTTGGTTTACAATATTGTGTTAGTTTCAGGTGTACAGCAAAATGTTTCAGTTATACATATATGTATTCTTCTTTGGATTCTTTTCCATTATAGGTTATTAGAAAATATTGTATATAATTCCCTGTGCTATAGAGCAGGTCCTTGTTATTTATCTATTTTATATATAGTAGTGTGTATCTGTTAACCCCAAATTCCTAATTTATCGCCCCCGCCTCCGCTGCTGCTTTCCCTGGTGGTAAACCCGAAGCTTTGTTTTCTATGTCTGTGAGTCTGTTTCTGTTTTGTAAATAAACTCATTTGTATAATTTTTTTAAGATTCCACATATAAGTGATATCATATGATGTTTGTCTTTCCTTCTCTGTGCTGGATCCTTTTATGTTCTCCCTCAGCATTGGTTTGTGGATGGGACAGAGCACAAAATACTGAAGCTTTTTTTTTTTTCTATTTCTCTTTCCTGATGCTTCTTTCCCTAAATGCCACTTTCACCTGCCAAGTCACCTTATAATGGACGTTGTTTTTTCCCAGCACCCCACCCCTGGCCACCCCCTGCCCAGGCATGCGCGCACATTGTGATGCTGTGGCCCCCATTAGTGGGAACCAGAACAGATGCACTTGGAGTAATGGATGTGCCTCCTCAGACAGGCCCCACGCCCCTCCCCCTTTCGGATACAGATATCTTTCAGCATCTTGAAAAGAGGGATTAGCCCAGGTTGTGTCCTCCTGCAGCCTCTGCACACCCTGTCCCTGTCAGTCCAAGCCCTGGAGTTTGGCTTCCCCTCATCGTTTGCCTCTGAAGCCCTCACTCTCTGCAGCTCCTGAATTGCCTCCATTGTCCAGACATGCTGCCAGAACTGGAGTCTGTTTTTGGGGCTGGGAACTCTGTCCCTAGGAATCCAAGTAATAACTTAATAGCCTTTGGCCTCTACCAGGCATCCTCTGACAAGGGCTTTGTGAGTTGCAGAGCACACGGATGAAGGCATTGCTCCCCAAATCAGGTGTTTGCTCAGGCTGTGTGTTTACTGAGAACTGAAGCTTTATAGAGCTCTGCACCCCAAAAGAATTTGACACAAAGGGGGTGAAAATCAATAGCATCCGATCTTCCAGTGAAAGCTGGGGAGTCAGCATTAAATCTCTTGATATACGCGTGCGTCTATAAACACACACACACACACACACACACACACACACACACATATACTTTACTTCTAGGCCTCTTTTACAATTTCATTTTTTCAACTTCTGTTTTGGTTATCTCCTCATATGCCCAATGCTAGTCTGGTATTTATTTCTTAAGTGTTATGTAATTCTTCCCATCCAACTTTCAAGGCCTACACATCTCCACCTTAGGATAATACTTGATTCAGGGGATTAAAGCAATTTAAAGCTCACTTCCCCTCCCTGACTTCATAACCGAATGTGAAGGAATGATATCTAAACACGGCAGCCAGAGACTTGAAGTTAAGTCCAGATTGGAGCCTTTGATCCAAGTGTTTTATGGTATTTTATTGGATGACATCGGTACTCAAAAATATACATACATGTGTTATCCAAAGAGCAATTTGCTTCTTGATGGGTTCTCAGATTGTATCAGAACCTAACCTATTTTAAAAATTGCCTGTTTCCTCGTGATTATGAAAGCCTAATGCCTATTAAAGTTTACTTTTCTTTTGCATATTACTGACACTGTTTTTTCCTTTTTTATTCATTTTAGGAAAGCATGCCTCAAACTCCTCCCTTTTCAGCAATGTTTGACAGCAGCGGTTACAACCGAAACCTCTATCAGTCTGCGGAGGACAGCTGTGGAGGGTTGTATTACCATGACAACAACCTCCTCTCCGGATCTCTGGAAGCACTCATCCAGCACTTAGTACCTAACGTGGATTACTATCCGGATGTAGGTATCCATGTGCCCCTGCAACACGTCCTCGGTATCCAGCAGAATTTACAATAGAATAGACAGGGACCCTAGATGCTGCAGAATTCTATCTGGGTTACTAAGAATTTTTCTAATAAGAAATTGCATATTGATTATTGAGTGCTTTGAGATCAGATTGAACCTGGTTATGATATGTCTGTGTATCAGTTTTCCTTTCAGGGTTGGTATCACATTGTAGTCAGTCAGAGACCATCTAAATGAAATACCTGTAAGGTTTGACTCATGCACATACCTTGGTCCTTAAATAGAAATGTCAGAGAACATTAGATGCTCCTAGAATGGTTAGTGCCTTTTTGTTTTCCAAAACTATGCTGAGAAAAGTGAAGTTACACAGGGAAGCTTCACAGAAAAGAGAACAAGAATTACATTCAAGATGCAATTCTTTATAGATTCGACATCAGATGACAGACTCACTTGTTTATGTTTTACTTTGATAACTGACATTTGTATGGATAATCCTTTCTAATTTAAGGAATTCGTTTACATTTTCTCAGTCTTTACAGCAATTCCAAGAGGTTAGAGAGGAAGAAATTGAAATTCAGAATGTTGAGGAATTTGCACATGGTCTCACTCCCAGCATCAACATTCAAACCCAGGTTTTCTATTTCTGGGGCACGTGATGTTTCTTCCCCCTTCCCTTGTGCTATGGCTGCCCCTGTTATGCAACAGCTGCTTGTTGATAAAGATTTCATGAAAATATCCAAGTGCTAGATTCGAATGATTTTATAAATATAATAATGACCTTGGTGTGTAGAGGCTAGTTTGTGCTTGCCACTGTAGTTCACCATAATGTTTCTTACTGAGTTATCTGTGTGTGTGTGAGGTTTGTTACGTAGCATTTTCAAATATGTTGCCACACAGGGAAAACTTCTAATCAAAAGTAAAAGGCATCCCTTGTTCAGCCCTGTAAGTGTTTATGAGCTACAAAAGGCACCGAAGGGGGAGAAAAACCCATGGAATTTTTCTTCTTATTGGGAGTATGCAAGTATTATAACAAATAAGCTTTACTTCATTACTGGCTTCTGGGGAGACATTGTGGTTAAAGAAAAGTATATCGTGTGATATTATGTTTTATCAAATTGCTTAGCCTTTGAGCAAGTAAATAGATTACTTGAAAGTCTGTCTTTGAATGTTCTGACACAAGCACACAAATGCTCCAGTGTGTCATACTGGACCCACTGGAGATTTCTTGAGCTGATGTGGGTTGGGTGATTTTTTTGGTTTCCATTGAGTTACCATAATATTTGGACACAGAACAAGAATCTGTACGGGTGGTATATTTAAGTTAGATTGATCTCCCTGGGCTGAATTTCATTCTTCTTTACTAGACTGAGTTATATGTCCTGGTATCCTGGCTCCCAGAGGATGGATGTAAAACTGTACTGTGAATAATTTAGTAGCTAAACTTACCCTGTACTTCTGTTATTTTTAGTATGGTTTAAGGGAAAATATATATCACAAAGTAAAGGAGAAATCCATCTTAGGTTGTTTTACTACTAGTAAGCATCACTTTTGAAACTGTAGCATTTTAACTTTGCTAAAGAGAACTTAGTGCTATATGATGTATAATATATAGGAAAGATACTAGTTTCAGAGAGAATATAACCATGATGACTTTTTTTTCTCTTGCCACAGAGAACGTACATATTTACCTTCCTACTGAGTTCTCGGTTATTTATGCATCCGTATGAGCTAATGGCCAAAGTTTGCCACTTATGTGTTGAGCACCAGAGACTAAGTGATCCTAGTGGTGATAAGGTAATGATACCTTATTTGAACTTAACGTTTTTTTCCATTAAGTTTGGTAGCTTTATGGCTTAGATTTTGTGAAGTTGGTTTCCTTAAGTAACCATAGCTTCTCCCCAGGCTGAGGTCCATAAATGGTATCATGGCTACGCAGAGGGAATTGGAAAGGTATAAAGAACGAATATAAATCTAGTGCCATGGAAGATCCCTCCGTCCTGCCTTAAGTTGGTAGCACTTGACATTGACTTGGGAAGGGGGGACAAGAGTCTTCTTTAACCCCAAAGACTTTGCACTAGAAGTTTACCATTAACCCTGTTTGTAATTATTTATTTGATAGATATCACTGAATTTGATTTGCTTTTTCTCCCTAGAATCAGATAAGAAAAATTGCACCCAAAATTCTTCAACTCCTGACAGAATGGACAGAAACATTTCCTTATGATTTTCGGGATGAAAGAATGATGAGAAACTTAAAAGATCTGGCTCACCGAATAGCCAGTGGTGAGGAGGTTGGTAACCTGAATTTAGTACAATTACTCGAATTTCCAGGCAGGGTCTTGGTGAGAAGTGGTGCTAAATTATGCATTGGCGTCTCTACTGCTTCTTTTCTGTTGTTGCCTTTGGGCAGGTCCTCTCCATAGCATACTGGTCTGTTTGGTGTGTCAAAGGGGGATGATTATACAATCCCACTTCAAAGGGATGTGATCTAGAGTTTTATGTGAGTAATCTGGGGGTATGTTCATGTCAACTCAAGCACAGGTTTCATGATGCAAGTGTGTTTTCATTTTATTTTGTTTATAACTTTCTTCCTTCCAAAAAGATTTGACCTAGCAAGTTAGATTATAAATATCACATTAGGAGATATAAACACTAATACATGTAAAATAACATATTTATATATTAACAGGTAATAAGTAATATATTAATAAATCAGAAATAGAGAGTTTGTATCATGGAAGGGAGAAAACAAATGTGCTAATACTGAGAATCAGTAGAGTAGGACAAGATTGCTGTATTTTAACTGTAAGCTCCAGGTAAAAGGGAAATACAGTTGGTTATGTAATTTTCACTGTCAGAAAAGAAAAAGCATAGTAATCCTTCAAAGCATTAAATTAAATGAAAATTTAAAAAAATTTCCTGCAAGGACTTTGTGAATGAGATCATGGAAACTGCTCTGTATAGTGTTTATAACAAATGCTCCTTGATAAAAAACTGAGGCCAAAAGATTAATATATAAATTAGCAAAGGTAATTCTTTAGGAGTGGAGAAGACAAAGAAAAAGGGATCCAAGTCTTGTGCTTGGAAGTTGATTCAAGGCTTAGCACCTAGACTTAGATGGAGATGGAAAGTAAGTCTGTTAGATAATCTTTCATAAGTATCACTTCCCTCAATTGAGCTACCTAGCTGTGACAAATTCAAGGTTATCCTCTTTGAAGCAGGCCTGGAAGGCTGTTACTCTGTTTTGAGGCTTGTTGGGCAAGGATATCTTTGTAGTTTCTGTACTTAGGCACAGATACAGTGTTAGAAAAAGGCAGATGAAGCATTTGGCAAAGGCTGTGATGTCTTGTTTCATCCATCTTAAAATGCATTTTCCCATTATGAATAACCTACCTGGAGAAATCATTCTTTCAGGGCTGTGCTGTCAAGATCATGCAGCAAGATACCTATCTAGTCTGTCTACTTCTGGCAAAAACATTTTAATACTGTTTCCCCTAACTTTAAAAAAAATCAGACAAATTATATAAGATTAGCACTTGAAAAATACTCACTTGCTTCCCACATTATGTTTTCATGAAAAGGGAATTAACCCTTTTACACTTCCCCATGACATTATATTGAACACTGGTGCTCAAGAGAGCCATTACTTCTGCAAGCCTGAATGAGTGGTTCCCTGAGTCCTTCTGCAAATTATGACTATTCTAATCATTTTGCTAGTTTGCGTGTAACAGGTTCTAGCAAGGTAGGAATTGGTAGGTCCGTCACTCACAAAGGCAAAAGTTAAGCATCACAGTTTTGTAGTAAATCTTTTCTTAGAGGGGAAGCTATTGTGTTGCTTGACAGGGTCAATGCTGGCTCCGTGACCTAAGTTTATGGCAAGCTGCTCAAAAGATTAGTGGCATCATAAGGGCTTTTTCTTGTGTGGAGGCTGAGCTCCGAGTCAGGCAGTGCTTCACTTCAGTTAAGTTCTGTGTCAGTACTTAACTTGATGTGGCAGTCAGCTTCCCTTCCTTCTGTTGCCTTTTTAAAAGGTAGAAATGACGACTTGTTTTTCCCAAAAGGAACACCTTAAAAATCTTTTTCAGATACAATGCCAAATGGATGGCTTTTTGTCCTTCTTGCCATGGGAGTCCATGAGGGGGGTCACTTCTATCTGTGTTGGCCAGATTGGTTCCGATCTCTTTTTAACAGGATCAAGCCACTCAAGAATTGGATGGAACCAAGCATGGGGACCAGATAGCCTTGTGCCTGGGCTTCCTATCAGCCATCCTGTGTTAATAACAAATCCTTGATAAACCTGAGATCTTCAGACGGTTTTGAGTGTGAAAAGATATGAGAAGATAAACCTAGGGCTTGAGTGGAGAGATGTCACCTGCCATGATCAGGTTGGGTTTTCCAGTGAGATTGTATTCCTTTAGTCACTTCTAGACAGTGTTCAGAATCGGGTCCGCGTTTGGCAGTGGTTGATTTGAGTGCTTTGGCAAGTCCCCTGAAGTTTCTGCTCCTTCTTCATTTCTAAATCATAGAGGTAACCTCCCTGTAGTACTGTCCCTTTCAGCCCTAAAATTTTGTGGTGGATGCTCTTTTCCTCAGTTCTGTACTTGGGAGGCCACTTATCTGCCATGTGCTTAAGTGTCTTTCCTTGCAGACACCTTCCCTGGCCTCCCCAGCCATGGGCATCCCCCATTCTTGGCTTTCACCACCCTTTCCCTTCAGAGCACTCTGTGATTAGTAATTACTTTCTTTATGACTTGTTTTTCCTCACTAGACTCCATGCTGTGCTCCTTTTGTTCAGATAGCATCCTTAACTCCTAGCCCAGTATCTGGTAGTTAATAGGCACTCAGGAGTGTTTGAATGAATGAACGAATGAGTGAACAAACGAATCGGTTACTGGAATAGGAAAGAAATATTTCCCTCTGCTGAAAAGTTATCTCCCTCCATGGGAAGGAGTGTGCACTTGGGTTGGGACTTGCTGCTTCTTGCCTGGGACTTTAGGGATTTTCTTTGGCAGTCAGTGGATCCAGGTGTGTCCTCTATATAATTTAGTTGAGTTCTTCTGAATCTGCTCAGACAGTTCCACATAGTATGGCTTAATATGTTACCCCCCTCCCCTAAGGATTTGCCCAAAATGAAGAGGTTTATTAGGACTTGACAGCAAGAAACCCGAAATGAAACTGATGATTCAATTACATGACAAATGACTATAGTGGGTACAGTGCAATTTTCTCTTCCTTACGGGGCCTGTCTTTATTCTGTCTTTATTTGCCAGGTAATTACTGTCACTGGCATTTGAAGTTATAAAAAAGAATAAGTACGTACTTGGCAATCCATGATTCCGTAAAAAAGCATGCTTAACAACACGAAGCTTTGGTTTCTCGAATGGAATCAAATGGCAGCAGCAAACTTTTTAAAGAGGTCACACACATATCCTCTCTCTGTCTCACACACACACGCACTCACGTTCTTTGTTATTCGAATAGCTTTTCCCCTATACCCTATTGCATACATGTTCCCATATTTTGCTGCGTTTTGCTCACTAGCTGAATCCTCCACTATCCATTACTCTACCTCTTTCCCTAAAAAGCATTTTTTAAAGTGTAGAATAAGAGTCTTTCACCAGACAGGCTTTGCTGCATGTCAGAATCACCCAGGGAGCATTTATTATGACATTTGGGACAGAAGACTGAAGAAACCATTTTAAGTTCATCGATTTTTATGTAACTCAAGACTATGAATGTAGAAGAAGCAAGGGATGCAGGTTTTATTTTATTTTTATTAATTTATTTTTATTGAGGTACAATTGACATGTAACATTCTGTTAGTTTTAGGTATACAACATAATGATTCAGTATTTGTGTGTATTGCAAAATGATCACCACAGTAAGTCTGGTTAACATGTCACGTTACATAATTAACAAAAGTTTTTTCTTGTGATGAGAACTTTTAAGATCTACTCTCTCAGCAACTTTCAAATATTCAATACAATGTTATTAACTGTAGTCACCATCTTGTACATTACATCTCCATGACTGACTTATTTTATACCTGCAAGTTTCTACCTTTTGACCCTCCTCACCCATTTTCCTCACCCCCAGCGAGGGATTTAAAATAGCCCTCAATTTGGCCTTAACTGCTTCGAATTCCAAAGAAAGAGGCATTTTCTTTGAGTGACAACCATATTACCAAATAGATACCATCTTCTTAACTGATAACCTTAATGCTGTGTGGAAGATAGGTTCCTTGAAGGCTCAATTTTTTAAACACTTAGGTATCTCATTAGTGACTTCAGGGTGGTCTGTGAATGTAGAGGGGAAAAAGGTCATCTAATGGACCAGTTTAAAGAACTCAGTAATATACATCAGACAAGTAGAGAAAAAGAAAAGAAAGAAGGTTGTGTGTGCCTTTTTGCCTTGACTATATGAGAATTGATCATTTCCTTCTATTTTTAATTTTCCTTGGCTTAAGTATGCAAATATCTATTCATTTAAAGTTTTATAATATGCTCTGGTAAACCAAATTACTTCCGTAAAAAAAGATGGTTCTTAGACTTGTAGGTAAGATGCCATTTAATTTTCAGATAATTAATCTCAGAAAATGATATTGTGGTACCTTTTTAGAAGGAGCTGATTAGTTAGTAAAGCATGGACATAGGGCTTTCATCTGTAAATTCACTAGGACTGTCCTCCTTTGGAGCTGTTAACCTAAGGACCACGTTAGCATTGAAGCAGCCTGTGTGCCTCTGATAACCTCTGATAACAGGTGTCACAGTTTACCCAGAAGGATAAGTGTTAGTTTGGCAATTTTTGCCTGAAAAAGGAAGAATAAAAGAATACCCTAACTTACACATGTAACTCTACCTTAGGAATTGGTTGATTGTGGAGCTCTTTCTTGGACTTAACAACTATTTTAAAAGTCAAGAGGTTGACATTTATCTATAATACACGCATTGCTTTAAAACCAATTTCTCTTAAGTATTGTGGCGGTAGCATGATGTAGTAACAAACAAGGTGTCACCTGGTAGTAGCATTATGAGTAGAATTGCCATGTGGAAGAGTTTGGTGGTGAACATTAGCACTGACTCATGAATGCAAAAGAAATGGACATGAACCAACTGGAAGTCAGATACCAAAAAGGAATATCCATTGCTTTTTTTTGGTGGTAACTCACGTTCTATGTGGAAGTCAGGAAGGTGGCTGGGGGCTGAGTAGGAAGTGATGGTGTATTTCTGTTAAGTAGCTGTCTGTACCCTTAGACTAATGAGATTGGGAATGCTAGAAGGAGAAAAATCTAGACGGGGACCCTAAAGAAAAAGAATTAGGAAAAGGATGCTCTGACTTGAGATCAACACATTTTAACCTACTAAAAGAAAACCGGTACATTCCTATGCCAGCCCAGAGAACATTAGTTATATGTGGTTCTTATTATACTGGATTCCCTCAGTAGCTCATCTAAATCATCCTTGTGTTTTCATGGCCCAACTTGAATTGTACTCTCAAGAGCAGCCTGAGAAAAGAACTAAGTCTTACAAATCTGAAAAGACACCTTATGTGTATGTGTCTCTTTTAAACTGTTAGAGCGAAGCTGAATCCTCTAACTGCCCTCAACCAAGGTGGCTGTCCAACGTGAAGGTAAAAGCATTGAAGTACAGAGTCTCTGAGTTTGCGTAGTGGTGAAAACAGACAAGCAGAGCAAGGAGGTAATCCTTTGCTTGTTTCCTGGCAGACATACAGGAAGAATGTCCAGCAGATGATCCAATGTCTAATCCGCAAACTTGCCGCGCTCAGCCAGTATGAGGAAGTCCTGGCAAAAATCAGCTCCACGTCAACAGATCGGCTCACACTTCTCAAGACCAAGCCACAGTCCATACAAAGGGACATTATTACTGTCTGCAGTGACCCTTACACGTTGGCCCAGCAGCTGACTCACATAGAGCTAGTAAGGCCATTGTCATCCTTGTCTTTTATAACCCACACCTGATTTGCTTTGACAACCAGACAGTGTGTTCGTCAGCGGTAATGTCAAGGGAGGGGTTAGAATAATCCAAATGGGAAATAATCTATGAAATAGCTGGAACGTGTTTTGTTTAGACATTTGAATATGACTATTTCTGATATTTTGGGAGTTCACTTTAAAATAAATACTAAGCAAGACTGAAGAGCAAAGAGTTTATTGACCTTCCTCATGTTCCCCCTCTAGTTAATTTTTCCATAACTCGCTCAGCCTTTTACTCTCTAGTGTAGCACTGACCCAAGCAGAAAACTGCCTCTGCTCAGACCTTGAAGATGATGACAATTTTAAGGGGTAAAGGCTTATTTCACAAGCTACATTAAAAAATGAGGGTAGTGTTAAAAGTCAGTAGACAGAACGGAAAGACCATTTCTTCTCCTTTTGTTTAATACTGTTGACCTGCTGGGTTTGTGTTTCAGGAGAGGCTCAATTATATTGGCCCAGAAGAATTTGTTCAGGCATTTGTGCAGAAGGACCCTTTGGACAATGACAAGGTAATTGGTCTACCCAGAGGTCAGCCCTGAAATTGGCAATGGAATTCTTTAGTCTAGGATAGTGGGTACGAGAGACAGAAATTGGAACAATTTTGTTTTAGGTTTTAAAAACTTTTTTTTTGTTTTTCATTAGCCATACCTGATTCATTACATTTTTTCTTGAGCCTGGTCTCTAAGTGCCTTGACGATATTCTTACCCTACCACCAACTTTTAACCTCTCTTCCTCCTTATTGGGAAATTTAATAAGCAAGTAGGTGCGGGCATTTGTGGTGGTGAAGGTAGGAGATAAAAGGGTAATGGTTTTAGCAGATTAAGTCAGAAGGAAAATACGAAAGGATGCTCTGCTCATGATTCAACAATAGCGGAAGCTATAAAGACAGGATGCACATCCAGTGTGCTGAGGCTGGGTCTTTACTGCCTTGCTTCTTGTTTGAAGGTGAATCCCTCATGACAGGTTTGTTGCCTGATGCAGCCCATATGGAAAGAAACTGACACTAGGCATGGGCTGTGAAACCGGTATACACACACATAAGAAATTTTTCCCCCAGTGACCTCCAGGAAGTATTTCAAATTGTTAAGCAAAGACTGCATCACCCACTAATGAAAGCCCTCCTTTGGGAGAAGGGGCAGCAGCTGTTTTCCGCCCTTAGAATAGTTTTGCTCAGTACAGGAAGTCAAGATTAGGTTTTGCAATAGGAGGCTAGTGGACTTTTTTGAAATTTGTTTGTTTCATTTGGAAGGAAGGAAAGAGGGGTGTAATTAACCTGTTCAAGTTTGGCCTTGAACTCTGAGATGAGCTTAACTTCTTTTTGTTTTTGAACAATATGTCACTCACCCTATTAAAGACCAGGATGATGTAGGCTTCTGTTTATCTACCTTGGAAGATATTTAGTTTCTTGCTACACAAAGTTCCAAAATTGTCTCCTAGACTTAATTTTAAGAGAAAATTTTCTAGTCTTCTGCGCTTTCAGCTTCTCCGTGCTGTGCAGACAGCAATTGGTATTCATACCCCATTAATTAGTCAAGATTGTTTTAGAATGCAGCCAAGACCCTTTTTTTTGTTTCTGAATTGTGCTTCTGAGGACAGTTCCCCCCAAGAGTAACTTAGCTTCCTGGGAGAGAAGGCACAAATCATGAATTCATCAGAATAGATTGTCATGAATGCAGCAGAATAGATTTCTAGACCTTCGGGTTTTCACTGGACTATACTAAGAGATTTGATATTCCTGTAAGGAGAGTCAAGAATGTTAGTGGTTCCCTCTCTCTCTCTTTCCCCTCCCAACCCCCACTCTTATCCTAGAAAGCCTTCCTAATTCACACACTGAGAATAAAGGCCCACATCTGAAAAAAAGGAGAGCTTAATACACTCTTTTTTTCTCCAACTCCTCTGCTCACTTTCCTTTCTCTATAGAGTTGCTACAGTGAACGGAAGAAAACACGAAACTTAGAAGCTTACGTGGAATGGTTTAATCGTCTCAGCTACTTGGTTGCTACAGAAATCTGCATGGTGAGAAAATGAATTTTCTCTTTCTTCTAGCCCTCTATATTATCTTTTCATACTTTTTACATCTGTTGGGTCTACATGTTGGATAACTGCCCTCTTTTTTCTCTTTCTATACAGCCTGTAAAGAAGAAGCACCGAGCAAGGATGATTGAGTATTTCATTGACGTAGCTCGGGAGTGTTTTAACATTGGCAACTTTAATTCCTTGATGGCAATAATCTGTGAGTGTTTTCTGAGAGATATGAGTCCTTTATTTTTATAGATCCTGTGAAATGTATCCACTGAAAATTTGCAGATAGTACAGTTTTGTTAATGAAAACTGTATTGTTTAATCTAGACTTGTTTCAGAACGTCCAGAATGCTTTAAATATCCAAATTGGTACAAGTCTGTGTAATTTTTTTTAAGTATATAAGAATTCATGGAATACATTTAGTCACTTTATCCTCATCTGAATATTTATGTATAAAGGCTTACACATGAGATATGTGCCTATATTAAGGATTTTAGAAAGTGTTTGAGTAGCTTGTGTATCAAGCATTATAGAAATATATGATCTGGGACTAAATCAAATGATTCCATCAGCAAGACAAGAGGGCAGCCTGAGAAGCTGGAACATTTCTGACTACCCAAGTCACTAGTACTTATCCTCCTCCGACCTTATTAGCCCAGCCTATAAACTTTGCTCCTCCTCTGTATCATGGGGATTTTAATGCCAGTGACTGTTCATTCTATAAACATAGGGCAGGGGGTAACACTGTCTTGGTTTTCCCAATTTATACCTGTTTTCTTGCCACAATTATGGTTAATGACTCTTTCGTTAAAAAATATTCTAATTTATATGATAAATGATATGGCTATGCTACACATTTTAGGTACTCAGTAAATATTTGAATATTTGCCTGACTCTTCAGAGTCAGGGTCAGTTTGAAGCCAGAGAATCTACCAGATTTAATTCAATAATTTTGATTCTAATAAATCCCTCTCACCAATTCTTTTTTCCAGTAAAAAGATTCTTTTTCCCCTTTATCTCCCCCATAAAAATACTGGCCAAGCTTCAGGTCTCTATCTGGCTTACTCCATGAGAATAGTGAACAGATGTTCATCTACATCAAAGACCTGAAAGATCCACAGTCTAGGTAATAGAAGATTATTTAATTCCCTTCTTGTACTGTTAAGAAAATATCAAGGCAATCCATTTCACGGGAGAAAGTATTTGTAATACATCTAGCTAAAAAAGAACTTGTACTCAAAATCTATAAAGGACTCTACAAAGCAATACTAAGTAGACAAATAACCCAATTAAAAAAAAGGGCAAAGGGGCTTCCCTGGTGGCGCAATGGTTGAGAGTCCGCCTGCCGATGCAGGGGATGCGGGTTCGTGCCCCGGTCTGGGAAGATCCCACATGCCGCGGAGCGGCTGGGCCCCATGAGCCATGGCCGCTGAGCCTGCGCGTCCGGAGCCTGTGCTCCACAACGGGAGAGGCCACAACAGTGAGAGGCCTGGGTACCACCAAAAAAAAAAAAAAAAAAGGCAAAATACTTGGACACTTCACAAAAGAAGTTATACTGATGGCTCGTAAGTATATGAAAAGATGCTGTACATCATTAGTGATCAGAGAAATACAAATTAAAATGAAAATCACAGTGAAATAGCATTTCACACATGGGAGTGACTGAAATTAAGAAGACTAGTTGAACCAAATATTGTGAGGATGTGGACCAAGTAGAATTCTCAGACATGGGTGGTGGTATGAGATGGGACCACTACTCTGGAAAATCATTTGGCAGGTTTTTTGTATAAAGTTAACTTCCTTCCACTTAGTAATGAACACTTTTTCAGAACATAGGTTAGAATGACCTCTCTTATTTCTCTATTTCCACCTTCTTTTTCTCCCCCTCCATTTTAAATTGGAAGCTGGCATGAATATGAGCCCAGTCTCTCGACTGAAAAAAACTTGGGCCAAAGTGAAGACAGCGAAGTTTGACGTTCTTGAGGTATGTGGAGCTGCTGTTTTGCTGTTACGTAACATTTTGCGCCTGAATTATTTGGAATTTTTTATGTGGCGTTAGAAGTGAGGTCTCGTAAACTTTCTGCAGGTGAGAAGTGTGTAGTTAATACTCTCCTCTCTTTTGTCTTCAGCATCAGATGGACCCTTCAAGCAATTTCTACAATTATCGAACAGCTCTTCGTGGGGCGGCACAAAGGTCTTTAACTGCTCATAGCAGCAGAGAGAAGGTATGGGTTTAAAGGAGTTTTATTCATAGTAGAGTTGCCATGTGTTGCACTGAAATGTGAACTACTGTACCGAGCTTCTTTTAGTTTAGATCTAAGAAAGCAAGGCCGCGTGCTGTAGACATTTTTATCACTTGCCACAGAGGGAAGGGGAGTGTTAAAGGAAGGGTGGAAGGAGGAGAGGGAAAGGGAACTTGGTGGAGAAATTTGCAAATGTTATTATTGCATTATTTAAATGACTATTTTGTAATGTGTCATAGTTGCGTTTCAAGCAGTAAGTATTAAGTCCTATGTTAAGATGACTAATAGCATTGGAGAGTAATTTGATTAAATGGAAAACAGACATTTACACACTGCACAAGGTGGCTGACTTAATGTAACCTTTTCTCTTAAAGAATTAGCTTACCTCCCATGGTTAAGTCATTTATGTTCAGAAAGTAGGTTAGTTGCTGTAGCATTAGGCCTGCTGTTACTAATTGGATATGTGGGTGGCAGAAAAGGTACAGAGATGATGTCTGAGAGATGAATGATCCTCACTCTATCTGCCCTGCCCTTAAACAATTTCACATTATCTTGGATCAACTGTACTTCTGACTCAGAGGGTCCTTCATTGGCACATTTCATACATGGGAAGGATAAGTCATTTTGACATTTGGAGATCATGTTATTTGAAAAGTAAACACCTGGTTGCAGTAAATGGGCTGATGAAGGTTGCTTGATGAAAGCTATTTTCTGCTTAGATTCTATCCATCTTCTAACTTAAACTATGTCTTCAACAAATAAACGAAAATGAGGGTAAAAAATTTCAGGGCCTCTCAGTCACTTCCCCCCAAAAGCTTCAGCCACCATGATCTAAAAAACAAACACAAAAAGAAACCCCACCTTTTAAACATGCTAAATTGCTTCTCAACAAAATCCAAAATATCAGTTCTGATAATGTTTGTGAGATATCGTAAATACATTATTATTATTATTATTATTTTTTATAAAGAAGGTCAGAGAAGGGATGAAGCAGAGATAACTATCTCGATTTAGCCTGAGGGAGTTTACCAGCTTTTAAAGTTTACCTGCCCGGGACTTCCCTGGTGGTCCAGTGGGTAAGAGTAAGACTCCGAGGTCCCAATGCAGGGGGCCCAGGTTCAATCCCTGGTTGGGGAACTAGATCCCGCATGCAGGCCACAGCTAAGAGTTCTCATGCTGCAGCTAAAAAATCCCGCATGCTGCAAGGAAGATCCCGCGTGCCACAACTAAGACCCAGCGCAGCCAAAATATAAATAAAATTTAAAAAGAAGGTTAAAGCTCTTTGAGAAAGAACAAGGATGAGGAGAATGAAAAAGAAAAATATAAAGTTTATTTGCCCACATCCCAGTACTCCTGAGACTACTTTGAGAAAAATCGAATCAGAAGTTTTTCAACCTTTGGGAAATGATCACATGCATGGGAGGATCCCAGTACCCTGAAGTGTGAAGACCTGTGGGAGGCTGTCTGCAGCCTTTTCTTCACCTCTCCGTGTTGGAAGCAAGGCTTTCTCTGCAGGACCTCCGTGAGTTAGAGGGCCTGCCTTAGCGAGGAAGAGGCTGTAGAATCATCTCTCTTGGTCAGGAGCTGCAGCACTGGCCAAAGGAATTCTGAAGTCCAGCCCTCCCACAAAGATCTCACTGAACGTTGTACTCGTGGAACTCTCATAGCTTTTTCCAGTATTTACCCTTTCCATCATTTACTAAATTCTGTCTGCTTTAGTTTTGTTGTTTTTTAACCAGTTTTGTGTGAGTGTATGGATTGTGTTCTGTAGTTCGTAAAACAAATGATCCCACCACCAATTTAAAGCAATATGCCATTTCTTTTTCACAAGTGGTCTCAAAGGCTATAAATGAAAACATTTGGGGATAAAAATTCATCTTTTATTCAAGAGAATTGGGATTCTGTTTTCTTTTTTGAAGTGAGGGTAGACTCTTTATTCCTAAGTCAGTTCCTATTTTAAAGTCTTCCTGGCAGTGTGAATAAAGTAATATAATCTTTGATATTCTTTGAATTATGTTTAGGTGGCCAATGTGGCACATCTCTAGGTACCATATAGAAAAAAATCTATCTATCACATCAGGGCCATTAAATGATCTTTAAATTGCTGTTTTTTTCTGTGAGTCCTTGTGTCTCCTGGTTTTTAACCACTTCTCGTACAAGTGCATGGTTTTCAGTCCTTTCACCATTCCATTTCTGATCATCAGTATTCATTTCTAGTTGTGGAACTGATAATGCCTTTAGGGTGTAGTTGCCAAGAATATTGTGAAAGGGAATTAGAGAACATTACTACTTGAGACGTTCTCCCACTAAAGCCTTCATTGAAAGACCTCTCAGAAAGCAAACTTTTGCTCCTGTAGTAGCCTGTACATCCACCTTCACTCTGGAAATCCGAAGCCGATTTTTACAGTGGTAGATTTATGTAGGGGCTGCACATCTGAAGGGAACCATCCATGAGGAAATGACACGTTGAAGAAGACTGTGAGACTTCTGTCTGGCATATGGGCATAAGGAACAGCACAGGAATGATCATAAGGGAGATTGTTTCTATCGCTGTGTTCTTGGAAGAGTGGTTCAGACAATTAATAGTGGATCAATCCAGCAATCCCACTTCTGGGTATTTATCTGAGGAAAACAAAAACACTATATGTTTAGAAAAGATACATGTACCCCCTTGTTCACTGCAGCATTATTTACAAAGCCAAAGATAGAAACAACCTAAATGTCCATTGATGGATGAATGGATGAAGAAATTGTAGTGTGTGTGTGTGTCTGTATATTTATATATATACACATATATATACATATATATAATATATATACATACAAGCATATATACTACAGTTTCCTTATTCCATTATATATATATGTATATAAAATGATTCATGTGATCAGCACCACGTGAATCTCACAGCCCAGCACTACAGAACAGGGCACAGAAGGAAAGTTCTTGCTTAAAAGCTGTTACACTAGGCAGATACTGCATCCTGATAATAATTCAGTCCTCATTTTCCTTATGATGATATATCAGTAATACTTGTCCCCTTGTATGGGGCCCACTGGTTTGGGGGGAATGCTTAATTGAGGTCAAACCTGTGTTGTTGAATTTAATCCTCACCACAAGTCAGTGAGGTACTGTTCCCATTTTAAGGTGAGGAAACTAGGCTTTCTTAGGCGTATACCAGGGGTTGGCCAACTCTTTCTCTTAGGGGCCAGATCCTAAATATTTTAGGCATTGTAAACCATACGGTTTCTGTTGCAACTACTCAGCTCAGATGTGGTGGCACAAGAGCAGACATAGACGGTACGCGGGTGAGCGGATGAGTGTGCCTGTTTTCCAGTAAAGCTGTCTGGACACTGGAATTTTAACTTCATTTAATTTCATGCTCATGAAATATTATTCTTTTGATATTTTCCCAGCCATTTAAAAATGTAAAATGTGTGGCTTCTAGGCCATTCCAAAACAGGTGGTGAGGTGGGCTGGCCCTCGGGCCACAGGTGGCGGACTCCTGGCTTGTACGTCCGGCCAGTTGTGGAGCCACATTTTAAACTGAGGTCTAGCAGAGCCAAAGCCCAGCACCCCCCAGTGACAGGTGGTCTTGCAAAGAGGTGAAGTTCGGGTGTGCTTTCATCCTTGTTACCATGGCTGTTTAGTTCTAAAATAATAGAGATATAGTCAGTAATATTTGAAGGAGAAGGTAATGAGGGAATCTTTACGAATTCAGTTTAGAGACTTCCAGACAATAGCAAATGATTAAAAGTATATTCAAAAGGGCTGTCGAAATTGAAGATTCATTTTGGCTATTTTCAGGGATCAATGAAACAAAAAAAAATCAAAGCCTATCTTTTTTTAAATGACTTTAGGGGACAAATCTGAATTTCCCCCTAGAAGTGAAAATTGATACTTAATGTTTTTAAGTACGAGCCAAAATGTTTGTTTTCCAGACCTGTCATTCATCTAGTATAGGTGTACCACATGAGTCATAAGCTTAGGGAACCTTCAAAAACCTGCTCTTGGGTAAACAACATAGGTCCACGGTTTGTGTCTGCAGCATTATTTACATTGTAGCACATTTAGAATCTTCAAAAGCATGTTGGCGTTTGAGAGAAAGTGGAAGTTACAAAGTGGAAGAACAAAGAGCTTTGTTCTTTGTTCATTCTGGTCTTCGTAGAATTTTGAGTACTCTCTTAGAGATTATTATTTTAGATTAATTAATTAAATACCACCATATCAAACCAAAGATGTGAGGCAGGAAAGTCTTACTAAAGAAGGCTCATTGTTTTTTAAACAGTCATTAATTTTAATTTGCACATTTATATTCCTCCTTCACCTGGGCCTGCCTCACAACATATTGTGCAAGGTACCACTTCGGTGATTTCCCATGAGAACAGGTGCTTACCTGCTGTGTCACAAGAAGGCCAGGTTTACTCAACAGGAAGTTTGTAGCAACTATTACCAAAAACCCTGTGCTCTCATGTTATCTTGAGCAGTATCTTCAAGGGAAAAGAAAATGTTCCTCTAAGAAAAAGTTCATCTAAAATGTAGATGTCTAAATGATAAAAACAGTACAGATTCTCACAGAGAGCTGGGTCACACATCTTAAGCTCTTAGTACCTGCAGTGGCAGGTATTCTATTAATATTTTGCTCTAACTAAATGAAAAGTAAGAGTTCTTTTAGATGTTTTTTCTTTGATTATAGCTAGAACTCTCAGATTTGATTATATGCTATTGCCCTGAGAAAAATGGGGGGAACTAGCAACAATGTGAAGCCAATCTGCCTCCCACTGCCACCCATCTTTGCTGCATTTTGGTTACTAACAGCATTTTCATGTTATGCAAAACTATATAAAGAAGGAAAGTGCTCTCATGGGAGGCAAAGGAAACACTGTACCTGTCTTAATTAATTATAGCCTAGTCTGTAATCCAGAGTCAATGCTGTTCGTTAACTTCTTATATTGTTTGATGAGAGTCTAAATGTTTATTTGCCCAAAACAAACCAGAGCTTTTTGTTTTCTCTAGATTGTGATACCATTCTTCAGTCTTTTAATCAAAGATATTTATTTCCTCAATGAGGGGTGTGCCAACCGCCTTCCCAACGGCCATGTCAACTTTGAGGTAAGGCTGCAAGATCTGAGCCCAGAGAAGGGCTAGCTTCTCCAGCAACTGTAGAGCGCCCAGGCCATCTAAGCTGCTTCTGAAGTTCTCGAGCCAAGTTTTCTCTTTCCCTACTAATTTGTAAGAAGATAACAATGCTGACTAGAATAAATTAGCTGCACCATTATTATAAATTATTATCCAGAGGTACTTGAGTAAATTTGGACCTCTACCTAGCACATATCTATTGCTAATTTTTATTAAATTAAGAAAATTATGGAGTTCAGAAGATTAGAAGCCAGAGGAGAACATTAAATGGAGTGGTCTCATCCAAGCCCATGATTTTTGATAACTGCCTTTAACTTCAACTTTCATTTTATTCTTTTCTAGAAATTTTGGGAACTGGCCAAACAAGTGAGTGAATTCATGACATGGAAGCAAGTGGAGTGTCCATTTGAGAGGGACCGGAAGATCTTACAGTACTTGCTCACAGTACCAGTCTTTAGTGAAGATGGTGGGTAGCCTGTTCAGCCGGGGCCGCCACCAGCATCCACAGACCCTACGATCAGGAAGTCAGCATATAAATGCTTGGTGCCAGGTTCCTCATGTAGTATGAGGCCTGTTTTCTGACTTATTCCATCTTAAGAATTTTCTGTTGCACAGAAAACCGTATGATTTATCCCTAAAATATTTGAGTCAGGCACTCACTATTCACCGATAAGCAGTACGTTTCTGTGTTTAAACATTCTTTATAATATTAGATCTGCAGAGCTTTGGGCACAAATGGAAAGTTATTGAAGGATTACTTGCCCTTGTTTAGGCTTGCTTTAATGGAGAAAAAAGGTGTTTCATGATATGTTGACATTCAAGGTAATTTGAAGAACAAAACAATTGCTAGCCCCTGCTGTTTGTCAAAACAAACAGTGGAAAGTCTTAACCTGTTAAAACATTAGGGAATTTGAGGCAGAAACAGTGATTGTGTACCAAAAAAATTGACCAGAAACTTAAAGTTTGTAAAAGACTTGGGGATTGATTATATTAATCTGTTATAACCTAATATTATAGAAATCAAAAGCATTATTAACTACTTCTCATAGTAGATTGGTAGTGTTTGTGATAATGACTAAAGAACATTTTGAATTAATATGACCCATTCCAGAGGGGACTTGATTATTATTAGCCTCTACAAACAGGATTAATAACAAGCTTTTAAATCTTTGGAATTCTTTTTGACTCAATATTAAAGAGAAAAACATTAGAAGAGTGAAAAATTGGCCTCGAAAACCTGACTTTTTACCTGCTAAAATGTCTTTTAAAAAGCTAACAGGAAAGGCTCCCCTTCGCATCCCCCTTCTTTGTAAAGAACATAAATGTGAGTGTATGATCGCATCCTGTGGCTTGCCTTTTTAAGCTTTTTTTGCCTCATAAATTGTCTTAGTTAACCAAGTGCCTTCTTGGCCTAAGAGGCCCTTGGGGTTGTGTTGAGATGGTCAGTCAGGGGCAAAGTGTGGTATTCTGTGTTCTTAAAGCTCCCCGGTTGTAATTTGATATTTTAAGGAGTGTGTTTTGCTGTAGGGTTTGGTTCAGGTTGAATGGGGGATGGATGGAGGTGGGTAACGTATCAGGAAAAGGCTTCAGCGTTAATGCATTCGTACTTTTGGTTCATTGTAGCTCTCTACTTGGCTTCCTATGAGAGTGAAGGACCTGAAAACCATATAGAGAAAGACAGATGGAAGTCCTTAAGGTGGGTCTCATTGCTTCTCATTGCTGTACAGATCTAATAAAGACGTTGCCCTTAAGTGAAGAAAGCTGCGTGCTTGTCATAGGGAGTCCCCGCCTGCGAGTTCCAAGTCCTCTCTGTAGCTTATCTCCTGTTAACTGAATCTTTGTGGCTTGGAATCCTCATTGCCATCCTTCAGTTTTATTGTCTTTTTTTTTTTTAGTACTGGCAGATATATAGTGACTCTGTTCTTCCTTCTCCCATTATTTTATGGAATGAGGAACTGAAATTACCCTGTGGTATGTTAAAAAGGGCACTGACACATTTTCTTCATCTAAAAGATAAGTTCAGACTGTATTTCTGAATAGCTCTAACAGTAAAATCTTATTTCACCTGAGATCAAAGAGACCCAAGTACCAGCTGGTTCAGTAAATTGGAGTGTGTCACTTATCGACTAGATCTTGGTCCCCTCTTTGGTTTGGGAGAGAGCTGGGACTTTAAATGTAATATAGAATCTCTCCAAATTTAAAAATGTTGTTAATCTGTAGTGTTTTCAAACAAAACTAGGATAGGTAAGTTTGTATTTTAACCATCTGAGATGCTTTAATGGGCAAAAGTAGCCCAGGATATAGTATTACTATAACCAAAATTGCTGTATGTGTATTTCTACTAAGAGACTCTGGGAACATGTGCCTCTTTTTTTTTCTTTAATATTTATTTATTTATTTGGTTGCACTGGGTCTTAGTTGTGGCAGGAGTGCTCCTTAGTTGTGGCTCACTGTCTCCTTAGTTGTAGCATGTGAGCTCTTAGTTGCAGCATGCATGTGGGATCTAGTTCCCTGACCAGGGATTGAACCCAGGCCCCCCGCATTGGGGGCGTGGAGTCTTATCCACTGTGCCACCAGGGAAGTCCCATGTGCCTTTTTGTACCGGGTTGACAAACCCATTTTCTTTTCTTCCCATAGTCACTTGGGAGCCTTCATTAACTTGATCTTGGGCTAGGTTTTTGGCCATCTTCACTAATATATATTTATTTTAAGTGACTAGCAGTTCTCCCAGAAAACCTGAAGGACTTCAATGCTTAATATTTTTCTGTCCTTCTTTAAAAAATTTTTTAAATTAATTTATTTTTTATTAAAGTATAGTTGATTTACAGTGTTTTAATTTCAGGTGTACAGCAAAGTGATTCAGTTATATATATATATATATATATATATATATATATATTCTTTTTCAGATTCTTTTCCCTTATAGGTTATTACAAAATATTGAGTATAGTTCTTTGTTGTTTATCTACTTTATATATAGTAGTGTGTATATGTTATTCCCAAAATCCTAATTTATCCTTCCCCCCACCTTTCCTCTTTGGTAACCATAAGTTTGTTTTCTACGTCTGTGAGTCTGTTTCTGTTTTGTAAATCAGTCCATTTGTATCATTTTTTTAGATTCCACATACAAGTGGTACCATATGATGTTTGTCTGTGTCTGACTTACTTTAACCTATGTAAAATCAAACTTCAAACATGGGAAAGATGAAACTAGTATTAGGTGAGGATTTTCATCCTCATTCAGATCATTTGCCACCTTCCTTCTTATCTTATCTTCTTTATTACTCAGGTCCAGCCTCCTGGGCAGAGTTTAACACACGGGATGCTGGCTGCTGCTAGCCGCTGCTGCGTTCAAGCAGATCATCGAGGGGCTGGCCTTTGTTTTCGGGCATCTAGTGCCACAAAAAATCATGAAGTCCCTGCAAGCACGCTCCCTCAAGAGCAGACGGGGACCTTATTCCCCACAGCTGACAGACTGACTCAGATTTTGTGAGACTGTAATGTTCACTGAGGACACTTGAGGAAGAATCCTCTAAAGATCCCAGCTCTGCAATGATTCATCTCCTGGAATTTCCATGTGAATCACAGCTCTGCATCTGGCTGGAGCTTTCTTTTGTGTGTGTGTGTGTGTTTTTTAATTTGGTTCAACATTTGCTGCTAATGGGACTTGCCCAGCTGAGTGCTGGCTCTTAGGAAGCCCACGTTTCTTTGTTAACTTGAAAGAAAAAGGGAGAAGAGGGAGGGGAAGCAAGCCCTCCATTTAGATCCCAAACTGCAGCTCAGTGGTATTGCCGGGAGGGGTCAGGCTGGCTGGATGCCAACTGCAGACTTTGTTTCCCTGAGCTCGGGCTGTGTTGTGAATTCCCCTCCTCCCTCTTCCTACAAGGTTTTGAGTTGGCTGCTGGTTAGCAAACTCCTTTTTACCCATATAAGTTATTTAATATAATAATGAAGCTAACACTGTGGTAGGAAAATAGCCACTAGAAAAAAAAGCAGAGTTTGTCATTGGACTGTGTAACATTCTAGAAGGACCTTCTGTTTTCTTTACCCTTCTGAGCTGTTTACAGCTGACCACTGTGTTCTACAGATGTGTTTCTCAGTAGTGTTTCTGTTACTTAGTTTTCCATGATGCCTATTTTTTTTTCCTCTTGTAAATTTAAATTATCTGACTTTAAGGGTCTTGGGAAAAAACCCATGGCCTAATTACAGTTTAATTTTTTAAACAGACTTATTTTTCACTACCTTTCATAGTCTGTTGGCGACTAAACATGTGAACAGAGAACAGATTGGAAAAGATAACCCCCGCCCACGAGAGCAGTGAACAAAACAAATGAAAAACATCTTGCTGTTGACTCAGAGGTCGAACTAATTGTGAAATAGTTCACCTTGTTAAACATCTAAATAAATCTGTAGTGGCTCTGCAAACAGCCATTATATTTATTTACTGTAGGAGAAACTGTAGTAGTAAACTGTGCTAATGAAAAAAAAAAAAAAAAGACATCATGTTCAAAACAGAGATGTATTTGCAAACTTAATGACATGGTTTCAGAAAAACAGAGCATGTCTGTATGCTGCACACCATCTCAGCAGACCTAAAATGTCTCCAAGCTGTCCCTTTACAACCATCAATATATTTGACACTCTGCGGCCAGGAGTTGTGGTGTCTTTGTTTTCTTTAATGGATGGGATTGGTGGGGGGTATTGGGGGAGCTGCAGTCTCAGCTGTTCAACTCAAGTGACCGGCTGAAAATGTGTCTGCCCTTGGGGAAGTGGCCTTTAGGAGTATGTGCGTGGGCCTTTGATATTTTGAAACTCAATCATAGTAAACAGTTAATAAGCATCACTTGCCAGGCACTTCTAAGTGTTCGCCATGGATCATCATCTTCGCTTTTTAGGCGTGGAAACAGGCATATTAATAATAATAATAATTTGTCCGCGGCCGTATAACTAATGAGAGACACAAAGATTTGAACTAGACCTTTAATTCCAGAGCCCAGCCTTGAGATCACACTGCCAAGCCTTCTGAGACTTCAGTATAACCTTCAAGCTTGCAAGGAACCTGGGGATCTCGCTGACCTGCAGATGTGGATTCTCTAGGTCTGGGGTGGGATCCAGGCAATACTGATGCTGCTGGTCCTGGAACCCTCGGAGCGGGGCTCCCTGCAGCACTGCCGCCTTGCCTTTCCCTGAACTCTGCACCCTGCATGTGTTGCCATGACAGCAACAATGTCCACCTTTCAGCCTTCTGTGTCTGGGGGTCTTCAAATGATGGGCTGCTGGCCAAGTCTACCCCTTTTGTTTGAGCCACAAGGTGACAGTTGTTGAAAAAAAATGGAAAGAAGAGTATTTCATGATACATGAAAATTACATGAAATGCAAATTTCCACATCCATAAATGAAGTGTTTGGAACACAGACACATTCATTTGCTTACACACTTTCTCATGGCTGCTTTCTGCTACAAATCAGAGTCTTGTAGTTGCAGCAGAGACTGGATGGCCCACAAAGCCTCAGATATTTACTCTCTGCCCTTTACAGAAAGAAAGTTTGCTGACCTCTACTCTCTAAGTGGTTGTTCTGAGCATTACAATGAGTTTGTAAAAATGCTCTAAAGTCTCTATTAAGGCATTAGATACATAAATGTGGCTACTGAGAAATTTCTTCCTAAAATGGTGTTAGGCTTAACAAATTAGGGATTCTTAGAGATTCTAAGGCTATTTAAACAAAAAGTCTTCACAGAAAGAGTTACCATTCTCATACCTGTCTCTTGTTTTCATGTCCAGATAAGCCAGTGGCTTAAACCAGGTACTAACCTATCTGTGGAAATCAGTCACCATTCTCCTCTGTGCACCGTCTCTGGGTTTGGGTCTAGGTGCGTAGATCATTTCTGTGGCCGGGTGGAAGCCTGGGTAAACACAAGCATAAGCAGCATCGTGTGATGTCAGCCCCTAGATGTGGATTCAGGAAGAGTTCTGTCCAGGTACGCCCTGAATTCCTAAGCAGCAGGCTCTGAGCTGAGGCCAGAGGGAGCCTCACAACAAGCTGGGTTGGGTGGGGAAGGCAGAAAGCTCCTTTCACAATTTGAAGTGTCCCTTGTTTCTGGGGACACAGGCCCAAGTTCCCCAGCTGTGGCCCACCTTTCCTCTAACAAAGAAAATCATTGGAAAAGGGTTGACTTGCCTCTGTCTTTGAAGGTTGTCCGCTTTCCCTCTCCACTGGACCCGGCTCTGACACCCCTGCCATTTCCTCACCCGTCCTGTACCTTTATCACACTTTTGCTTCTCTCTGTACTTTCTTTTTCCAACTGCTGCCCATCTGCCTCCTGCACTTAGAATCCCAAGAAAGCACAGCCCAGCACTGGAAGGTGAGTTGCTTAACTATACAGGAATGTTCAACTGTAGATGATTGACATGCTCTGCCTTCCACTTTGGTGCATTCTGTTTACCCTGTGGCCCGTCTCAACAAGAGCCTCTGCCTCTATTCCAAACGTGTCTTGATATGCTGATGGAGAGCACACAACCAAGGATAGAAAAGAGTGTTAGGCTAAATTTTTTTTGGAGCTAAGGGTACAAAGGAATTCCTGAATTTGCTTCCTGGAGAAAAATGTGCTTAGTGACCCGGAAACTAACTAAACATATCAAACTCAGGGATCCTGATGGTGACTCTATTAACTTTACCCTTAAGACATTTTAAAAGGAAAGACTTCTGTCAGACCTGGGATTCCAGAGTTTTAATAGAGAATTGGGGCACTTCCTGGATAAGTCAAGCCAAAATTATTTTCTGGGTTTGAATGGTTAGATAATTGCCTCAGTTCTCTGCTTCACGTAATCAAGATCACTTGACTCTACACAAGGCTAACAGAAGAGACGTTGTGGTTTGAGGTGTATGTATCCAAACCTTGAAGATTAAGGACCTGTCATTCAAAACTAGCAAATAAGGCCAGCTCCGTGCAAAATAGACCCTAATTCAAAATATGCCTTAATTCTGTACTTAAGAATCAACTCGTCTTAAAGGATGCATTTTTTTTCTTTACTTAATGCAATGAGGAAATTCCCAGGTAGCCAATTCCCTCTTTAGTGCTAGCAGCCTTCAACAGGCTTAAACCCCACTCCACAAGGCTAAAACCCTGCTTCATTTCTCTGAGATTCGATCTAATAAGAAATGAAACATCCCAATGTGTACTCACATTCTAGGCAGCATGAGGCAGCTGTCTTAGAATAGTTAGTTGTTAGCGTACTTAAGTTTAAACGTGCACAACATCCAACATTTTAGGACTTTTAGGTAATGGTTTATGGAACACAATTTAGAGAATTAAAGAAGGGAACTAATATTTCTCAGAATAAGCAAGAAAATTAGGTGTTCCTCAAAGAGTGCCAAACCATTGGGTTTTCTACCATGAAACCAAGTTTGCTTTCTTTCCCTCTTTCCACCTACGCTGCTTGGAGAAAATGAAAGTTAGCATGAAATCATCTTTCTCTGGATGAATCACTGTGGGAAAGTCAGTTCAACAGAGCGTGTTGTTAACTTGGTTGAGACACAGCAGCTGGAGGACCGTAGGCATCGTTCATTTTTTTGCAATGTGATTATGGGTCCTCGTAAGTGCAGGTGAGCCATGTGGGGAGTTCATGTGTGTTCAGTACATATATGCTGAACCCATGAGCAAGCCGGTTATCAGTCTTGGTATTGGAGCTTCACAGGTTTTTGCTTTATTGGAGTTGAATAAATCTCGTCCCCCTACAATACCTGGACTTTGGAAATGAGCGTAAATTCAAGTCATTCTGATCCATTCTCATGGGTGGTACGATCCTCAGAGATCAGCAAAGGAAATCCAAAGCACTGAGGGCTTTGTTTTTATTATGATTAGTAATTAGATTAACACACCTCTGTGTTTATTAGTATACAGCTAATAATCATGACAAGAACTCCATCTTTAAAAACAATATAAAAATCCATCATTACAAGAAAAACTGGGGGCTTCCCTGGTGGCGCAGTGGTTGAGAGTCCTCCTGCCGATGCGGGGGACGCGGGTTTGTGCCCTGTGGTCCGGGGGGATGCCGCGGAGCGGCTGGACGCGTGAGCCATGGCCACTGAGCCTGCGCGTCCGGAGCCTGTGCTCCGCGGCGGTGGTGGGGGGGGCACAGCGGTGGGAGGCCCGCGTGCCGCAAGGGAAAACAAAAAAAAATATATATATATATATATATATATATATATAAGTCCATCATTAAAAGAAAAACTGGGACTGTTTAATGTCATGGGATAAATCTGAAATACACTCTGTAAGGGTATTAGATGAAGAATGTGGGCTGTGGGCTAAACCTCACCCTCCCTAGATTTCTGGGGCTTTGGGGGAAGTCTCCCCACCTTTTAGACCTCAGTGTCCTCATCAGGAAGTAATGCGTCTGGACTAATTGACGAGGACTGGCCGGTCTGGATCTGAGAGTCTGTGGTTTGGGAAAGCACTTTCTCAGCTTGCTGGACAGAAAGGTGAATTAGCAAGTAAATAACAGCATCCTGCATTTGTGCTTCAAACTTCCCTTCCTCCTGCCAGGCAATTTTATGTTTTGTTTGTCGTGTTTGAAGAGGGAAGGGATAAGAGGCTAATTGCTATTTGATTGGAGACAAAGAAGCGATAAAGGCTCAGCTACCCGCTCCAATCCCGTGCCACACACTGGATAGAGTTCTTTATAGTAAAGAGAGATTGCTACCCAGACCAGAAACCAGAAAATACCCTCTGTGCAAAACCAGTTGTATGATTTCAAAGGTGCTAGATGAAGAAAGCACAGCTTCCAAAGACTACAAAAATACTTTGTTGTGTAGAACACATCTTTGCCATGGCAGCTCTCGCAATTATGCTGGTTTATGTAGATAAAATCATATATAAAGTGCCTGTTCACACCTAGTCATTCACAAATGAATCATTATTTGGCTTAAAATATCAAGACCCAGACACATGATGATCAGAGTCCCCTTCTGCATTTTGTCAAATTTCCTTTTTTGAAAATGATTGGGGACCTTCTCTGAAGACTGTCCAGACAGTGGTAAACTCCTGGATTTGACATACCTTTTACAGGAAGTCCTACATGGAGGGAAACCAGCAAGGCCATGGATCAGTCTTGTGAGGATGGATACCTTCTTTCCTTGGGCTACAAATGCTCCATGAATCCTAATCCAGGAAGACCTCCGCAAAAGAGAAAAGATCAGAGAAGAAAAAGGCAAACAACTCAGAAGAGGGAGAAGACTGTAGAGGGATATGTAAATAAAAAATCTTTGGCAAGTGGGAGTTTAAGAAGAGGTGTGACATTAGCAGTGCTGGAAGCTTCTGTAATACTCAACATTTAAGATCTAATAAGAAAACAATGAAGTAAGAAATTCTGTTCTCTTGGGAAACTACAAACTATTAGCTGTTAAAATAGGTATTAGGTAAATGGATAGAACTAGATAACTAGGAGGATTTTTTAAAAATTAATTAATTTATTTTTGGCTGTGTCGGGTCTTTGCTGCTGCACATGGGCTTTCTCTAGTGGCAGTGAGTGGCGGCTACTATTCATTGTGGAGTGCAGGCTTCTCATTGGCTTCTCTTGTTGCGGAGCATGGGCTCTGGGGTCGCAGGCTTCAGTAGTTGTGGCGCGCAGGCTCAGTAGTTGTGGCGCACAGG